TCATTTATCATCTAAGGAGGCTATAAATACCCCCCTATGGCCATCATTGACAGGGGCTGAGCATTTTCCAGAGAGATTAGAGCAGAGAGCCTTGAGTTTTGGTGAATTAGAGCAAGAGAGTGAGTCTTCCTTCTTCACAAATATCCTCAAGAAGCTTTTGGCGATTCCTAGATATCTAAGCTCTGACTTGATCTTTAGAAGAGTGAACATCTTACATCGATAAGATATTTGCTTCAAATTCTTACTTCGATAAACGAAGGAAGAATCATTAAACCCCTCACGGTTCAATCAGAATCTGTGATTTGGTGGTCCACGAGTCAAAGCGCTCCCGGCACAGGCAAAGATCCCACGCAAGCAGCGATCCAAACAACGATCCTGCGTTTGTTTCTAAAAAATTGTAATTTTTCTTTTGTTGTGTAAAAGAGGTCTTATAAAAAGACTATCTCTTTTGAATTTGTTGTAATCGACCGAAGATATAATGAATTCCATAACAAAACCAACTTTTGACGCAAACAATGTAGTCAAATGAAGAGCTATAAAATGATTCTTTCTAGTTACTATCAAAACATGTTAGCATAGTTATTGATGTCTCTTATCAAGAAACAATGGATAATAATAATTAGACATTTTCATTTTGAATGTCTAAACAAAATTTGATATGCGTTCATATCAAGTAGAAATTGTAACGATCAAATATTATCAAGGAATAGAAAACAAAAGCACTAAGGGTTTGCCATAACTTCCGGTTTCTTTGGGAACACAATATGTTGTACATTTAAAGAACTAAAGCCCAACATTGCTAATAGAATTTTTAGTGTTCAATAGACAGAGGAAACAATTTAGCAACAAGAAAAACTAAACAGCAGTTTTGAATGTAACATGTAAGCATAAAAGGTCATGGTCTATAAGCATAAAAGATCGTATTCTATGTCTGAAGATGTAACTGCATAGGGTTTGTGTAGATTAGAATTTGGCCCATAATGTGGAACTAAAATACTACAGTTATATCTTCACATGTATGCATATGCACATATATGAATGACATTACTAATAATTACATGCAAAGCATTCAAGAGAACCTTATAATAGGATTTTATATCTTAAAGTATATTTTATACTACATATGCATAAATATTAAAATTTTGCTATTATAAGAGGTTGCAAATTGGTTGTCTAGAAAGGAGAGCTTCCAAATTTAAACTGGTTGCCTACAAAAGACCTTCCAAATTTAAATTGGTTGCCTACAAAAGAGACCTTCCAAATTTACGTGACCATTTTTAAGTACCACCTCTTAAACATATCATTTTGATATTTTAAATATATATATTTTATACACACATGCTTTAAATTTTTAAAGGTGCATTCTTGCATAAAACTTGTAATTAATCATGTAACAAATGCAAGTGATCTAATATGACATACGAATATCCATCATAATGCAATAAAAGAGATAATATTTACATTTGAAGATTTAAAAAATAATTCACCATGTAAAATAGAATTTAAAAGACGCACACGTCCTTTTGTTCAAAAAATTTCATACCAAAGACTTTCAGATACTCAGAGGACACTTGCATTGTGGTGAATATAACATGATGATTAGTTGGTGAAATTTTCCTTGGATTATGTAATTTAAATGCTCATGCAACCGTAATGGACGTAATGGTCCCACATAGCTAAAAGGACTAAAGACATTCATACAGGCTGCCTTGAAGGTTTGGGCTTCTCGTTATTTTTGCCCTTACATCCAAAGACCCGGTTAATGAAACTTACTTCAGCCCTCAAGCTAGATCTTGCAACACGCGTATGGAGATAACTGTGTAAAACCCAACAGTAGTTTATGAAGGCATAAAGCATTAGCAAATAGCTTGTCCTGGTGGCCTACATAATTCAAACACTAAATAAGAGTGTAAAAAACTTAAACAACATTTGGAGCCTCTAAATCCTACATCTAGCTGTAACCATGAGCAAGGACTATGACACTGATTATGCTCCATATGCAGCTTAATTCGACATGTGTGCAAGATTTTGTATGCAGTTATCCTTTGACCTAGAACATTATAGGAGATTGCTTGAGAGAAGATAATGCCATCAGAAACGGTGTATGCATATGATCTACATGTCATAGTCAATATTGTGAAACATTAAAGTTACCCCCCTTTATAACTGAACATTCGTAGAGGAATACTAACTGAAACTAATCAATTCATCAACAGAACTACGTAGGACTTAGTGCAAGAAAACACATAGCCATACTAGGGTTAAAAGAATAAATGAACTTGGAATTCCAAACATAATATTGTTAGACCCTAGAGGGGGGTGATTAGGGTCTTATGCTAATCTAATCCGATTAAATGCCAATTAAAATTAATTAACAAGTTATCCTAGCAAGTATGAAATACAACAATGTATATGAGCTAGGATAAGCAATATGAACAACAAGATATATCCTAACAAAGAGATATAGGCAATGTATGTGCAAGGATATATAAATTCAAGGGTAAACACTCTAAACTAGATAGTGGGTAATATAATCAACAAGCAATATACAAAGGCGATATAAGATATGAACATAAAAGTAAGTGCGCCAATGCAATCACAAACAAACAATATGATTACGGAGTTCGGTCCCCACGACCTACGTCTCCGCTCCTCACCTCGAGGAGATCTCCACTATCTCAACCGGGTTTTCTACGTTCACCCGAACAACGTTTACACCTCACAATACAATCACTATACAATCACACTTCACACACTAAGTGTTGGTCCTAGCCCGTGTCCTCCTCCTCAAGTGCTCAGTTACAACCTCTCCCTAGGCACGTCAACCGACGCCACTCCTCTTGGATTCGACCCCGTCTCTCACCACACACTTCTCTCGGTGTACAAGTGTATTACAAGTGAATCCTCACAATTAGGCATAATATAAATCAATTGATTGTTCTCTAAACAAGATGAGAACTCAATTAAGCTCACTCTCAATGTCACAAACCCACAACCCTAAATTATACGATGAATGTAAAATATCATCATTTTGCAAGGAGGTCCAAAACACAAAAATATAAACACATGAGTTTTGACATTCTAACTAAACCATGTTTTGAAACAATACAAAATGATTTTATAGACTTAATAGAAGATGTAAACTATTGTTATGAAGTCTATAAATAGCGAATATAGTATTTTATCAAAATACACATATAATACACTAAAATATGATTTCATGGAACTAAATAAAATTGATATTGATGAAATCATATAAATGTATTAAGTATGAAACAAAAATATGTTTTCCAATTGTATTCAACTGTTTCATAGTAAAACTTGAAAACTATCAAACCAAAACATATATGTATATATATAACTATATATATACATGGAAACCAATAAATGTGTGTGTGTGTGTATGATATTGAGCTTAAAGTACCAACACACATAATATAAACTCATAAACTAAATTACCCAAGCAATCTTGATATTCAATTAAGCTTGACTTGGTACACTTGCGGATGAAGCTTGAACTTAATCTTTAACTTGAATTGTATGTTGCTTCACTCCACAATTCCGCCAACCTCCATTTGATATCGTCGTTGAAGCGCTATTCCATCCATCCTCCAACAACGTTGTTTGTCTACAATACATAGGAATACACAAACACTAGACAAACAACATTAGTAGTAAATTGTTTGTAAATCATCATCAAAACAAGAAGGCCAACAAATATAAGAGAAACAAACACAATGAACGTTCTTTTGATGAAGGTATAAATTACAACTTATTTAACATCAATTAAATAAATGCAATAACTATAGTATTTATCAATAATTAAAGCAGTTAATTACATATTTAAAATTATTTCGGATTAACTTCAAATTAAATTTGAACAAAAATAATTAACAGCAATTAATTGCGGTAGTAAATGAGATTAATTACTAGTTAAGAACAATTAATAACAATTAATCTATTACAATAACTATTTTATTACAATAATTAAATTGGATGAACAGTAACTGTCTCGGATGAGCAACCAGAGATGATTTTTTTTTGAACAATAACGTTTAATAATTTCATAATGAACAGTAACATTTAAAAAAATATTCGGATTTAATACTAAAAATATTTCAATCTTCTAGATTGTTGGATAATATCAAATAAAAGTTATAGCATGTAGATAAATCTGAATAAAATAAATAATCAAATCTGGCCTGAACTGAAGCAGTCATGTAATCACTGCCCTAGAAGATTGAGGACCCACCTATTGCCCTGGTGCAAATGATCATCTCTCCCCTAGCAGTAAAAACCCCCGAAAGCGATCGGCAGCTTAGATGAAGAAGATTGCCCATAAAAATAATAACAAAATTTTTAGAGGGGAAAAACAATTTTTTTGAAACCAGAGGAGAGAAGAAAGTTTTATAATTCTTGTGTTTTAGAATGTGAATAAGGGGTGTATTTATAGGGTTGAGGGGGAGAGAGTTTATTTCATTTTTCAATGTGGGACTAAACACAAAAGCAAAATTGCATTTTCTCAATAAAATATCCAACATTATATACAGATTGCAATCCAATAATCTCTTCTGTTATTTGGCTACTAAAAAAAGGAAAGACTGTAATCTCTCCTTGACTGAAGGAGCATGAAAGGCAAGAGGATATACAAGGAAAGTTACAGCCATTGACAAATTACATGAGCTAAAAAGAAAGTGAGATTCTTCAATTACTCCTTTGATCAAGTGATCTCATTGACTTCTGGTGATTCACTTATACTCTTTTTAATTCTATTAATCAAGAAAATGGGCTAAGGACCCTATTTTTTAAAAGGAAAAAAAGGAATCTTTACCCTCAACCAGTAAAAACAAGTAATTGCATATGATAATTTCAACGAGATAAAAATAAAGGAAAATATTCATCTGAATTCAAATAAACCACAACATAATAGTTTTCCAGGAACATATATATTAACTTCTACTGATTATTCCCAATAGCAAACTCCAAATATATAATTTGGACTAACATTTTAAAGCAACATTAATATCATTGGCTATGTTAATCGCATCTTCAGCAGATCCATAAATTCCTTTCCCAATTAATCCGGCACAATATAATCCATTTCTTCCTTTCCAATGCTTGGGATACTTTAGCTTGCACATCCCATCATCTCCAAGGAGATAATCATCACTCTGAAGAATTAAAGTCAAAAATAAAAAATATCAAACATAAGGATTTAGTAGAGAAACCAAACTTAAGGGTATAAAATAATCTTCAATAAAATTAAAATAACTAAACAGGAAGATAGCAGTCCATTATACCTTGAGCCAACGTTTTATGGTACTCCTATAACCAGTTGCAAAAACTATAGCATCAAAGGTAAGCACCTTTCCATCAGAAAATACCACATTATTGTTACCTTTTATGCTTTTCAAAGATGGCAGTACCTGTAGAACATTTTACAGCAGACATTGTTAATATATTTTTTTTTTCCTTAAACTATAGCTGTACATGGTACACATAAATGTAAACATGTTTTTTTTTCTCCCCCTTCTTTTTTGGAGGCTACCTGGATTTCTCCTGACTTGATCTTGCTGAAAGTGCCAACATCCATAACAGGATAAAAGGGGGTGTAGGTCTTCAAATAGAAAGGTCCCTCTTTTGGCCTGTGAATACCATATTTTGATGTATTCCCAAACTTCAGATTGCAGAGGAAAAGCACCAAAGCATCAAGTAATCTCAGGGGCAAAAATCTCATCAAAAGCATTCCAAGGTGCCATATTTCTCTGCTCACCAAATGTAACTGCATCAGAACGAATATGATCTCAATTTCTTTATTGAATGTTTTCGCATTGTCATCATGCTGCATGCAAAACAAAAATTTTGGATGTATCTTGAAATTTTTTTTCCATTAAAAAAAAGATATTTTTTACTTGAGGCTGGGATTAACATGGCTAGTTTCATATTCTGTCTAGAAAATCATAAAGAAGATAATTATAGATAGGAACTGTGTTTATTATAATAAAAATTTACTAAATCTTCATGGGTATCAACATTTATGAATCTTAATTATAAGAGTAGTTAAATGAATTCTAATTGTAAAGATACTAATAAGAGGAGAACCAAAAAATTTAGTGAAGATCGAACGTATTAGTTAGGATAATTATAATTAAGGCTAAATATCAGTAAACCCCCCTTAATTTTGGAAAATTATCAGATAACCCCCCATAACTTTTAAAATATCTAAAAACCCTCCTTTAGTTTTTCAAGTTTTGTCGAAGAATTCCCCTGAATACTGTTATCACAGTTTTCACATGGGTGGGTAAAATTATGCAGGTTATATTTTTGCGAGTGAAAAGTAGGATTCGCGCTTTTAGGAAAGATTTCAGAGAAAGAAAATCTTAGCAAGTGTATTTTAGTCATGGTGTTAGAAAACTATACCGGGCTACGGACAACAATAGAAGCATTGGCTCCATGGTTACAGAGATCAAAAGCAATCTCCATTCCTGAGTTTCCACTGCCCACAACCAAAACATTATTTTCCTTAAACCTTAAACCTGAACGGTATTGACTAGAGTGCAGGACTTCTCCTTCAAAGCTCTCTAGTCCATTGATCTCTGGCATGAACATTTCATCATTTTCTCCACTCGCAACAACAAGATATTTGGTTGCATAATTGATTTCTTCTCCAGAATCAAGTTTTCTTACTTTTAAGCGCCATTTTCCTTCTTCTTCATCAAATGAGGCTGATTCCACCTGTTGACAGCATAACAACGTGATAACAAACAAGAAAAAAGGCTAAATATCGGAGAACCCCCCCTTAACTTTGGACGATTACTAAGTAACCCCTTATAACTTTTAAAATATCAGGACCCTAAGGGTTACCAAGAAAACCCCCTTTAATTGTAAGATTTTATCAACAAAACAACAAAAACTCCAAACAGCGTTACCGCAATTTCTCACATGGGTAGGTAAAATTATACCTCCTCAACTTTAGGGGGTTTTCTGATATCTTGAAAGTTATGGGGAATTATATAATAATCTTCAAAAGTTAAGGGGCTTTTCTGATATTTTGCCAAAGAAAATGCTGTAAAATGATTTTTCTTGTTTTGGACTACGAGTGGTAATCAAATTCATTAAAAATTATCTAAGATAACTTTTTCTTAACATTCATCTCTCTACTTTGTGAGTTGCTTTTTTAAATTTTCTTGTTTAATATTTCATCGCAGTGATTTGAAACTGAACGCACGAAAACAGAGTGCACAAAAACTGATTGCACAGATTCAGACACAAAAAAATTGTCAACACAAGAACTCAGCGTACAAAAATTGTCAGCAACAAATCCAAGTGTCACAAATTCGTTGAAAAAAAGAAAAGAATCAAATATTAGGCTCTCACCCATCTAGTTATATTATAAAAATGGCAACTACCACCAAACAAAAACAAGGAAACAACACCAAACTACAGAAAATCTAAGAAAACAGGATTCAAACTCTAGCTAAAAGACAAAAGAGCGCACATAAATTGACACATCCATATTCACATCTGAGACTTTCTTTTAAAACCCCATCTTTTGAACAACAAAATAAAGAAGAGTTAAAAGGACCTATAACCGAAAACCTTCTAATTAAACACTATTTAACATGAAAAAGGAGGGCTTAACTGTCAAAACTTTTCTGTATAAAAAATGAAGAAAGTTACCTCATGTTTAAACTTTGGCCTTAACTCAAACTTCTCTACGTAATCATCAAGATACTTAATAAATCCATCCTTAGAGATGTAACTCGGAGTTTCAGAGCCATAAGGGAAGTGAGGTAACTGGCAGAACTCCTTAGCCAAATGGAGGTGAAGTCGATCGTAGGTCCGTTTCCTCCAAAGAGAAGCAATACAATCGTCCCTCTCAATTATCACCGACGGAATCTCGTGAACCGCGAGGCATCCCGCAGTTGCTATCCCCGACGGACCAGCTCCTACTATTACAACCCTCACTTCCTCCATAATATATTTTTCTCCAATTAATGTAGGATTTGGTTGAGTACTTGAGTCTGAGTTCATGAGGTTGTATATGTAGTAAGGCTTATGGAAGTGGGGGTAGCCATGTGTTAATTAATGCATGATTTAATTAGGAGAATTTGATTGGTTGGAGACAAATTAGATGCATTGGACCAGCTGTTCTAACGCTTATTTGAGATTAGTTATGAGCTAGTTCAGATTTGCCTTGTATTAGTTTTTGTTACATCCTGTAAAGGTTTGACGTAATTAATACTTTGAGAAGGGATCCTTCTTTAATTTCTAATAACAGGAAATATATGAGTGGTCATGAGCTTAATTTTCCATACAGTTACATGTTCAAGTGGTCAAAGGGTCCAAAGGGTAATTGCAGCTGCAAGATTCGTGTTTAAGGTTTATTCTATGACAAGTTCAAATAGTGGAGAATATAATAGTTGTTTTTCTTCTTGGAATTCTCAAGATTTTGTGATACTCATAATCCTCTTCCGAAAAATTTCTGTTCTTTTTTTTTAAATGTGTTTTATTAGTAGGTTAAGAAGGAAGAAAATACAGATGAGTGAATATATGCGCTAATTGTATGTGTTTTTATTATAACATGCAAATAATGTGACTTAATTAATTTCTTGAGAAGGGATCTCCCTATTCAATGGAAAATAATGAAGGGACACCATTAACTTTCCATCTTTGTTTCATGTTGAAATAGTCAATGGTAAAGTGAGTGATTGCAAGTCATTAATATCACCAAGAGTATTTCACTCAATCTATTGCATTAATAGTATACCGAAAGTACGTCTACTTTTAAAAAGTATATAAATTTTGTACCTTAAACCTAAAGGGTGAGGGACTATGACTATTGCATATTTGCTCCATCAAATGACATGTTCTAATGATTAAGACTCCTGTTAAAGTAAGAGAGAGTCTTGGATAAATTTTCCTTAAGTTGAATATTGAGTGTGCACATTATACAACTAGAGGAGGGTGAGGTGTGTTATCACAATCAATGTGGGACTAAAAACCCACTACTAACACTATTATCAACAGTCCCCCTCAAACTCATGTTGGATCAAACAAAGTGAGTTTGCGTACAAGAAACTAGAACCGATGAACAGGTAAGGCCTTTGTGAAGAAATCTGCAAACTCGTCGGAGGATGACACATGAGAAAGCAGAATTGTCTTATCCTTGATAACTTGTTGACGGAAAAAATGAGCGTCGATCTCAATGTGTTTGGTCCTCTAATGAAATATTGGATTATTAGCAATCTGGATGGCACTCTTATTATCACAGTATAGAGGAGTAGGAGTCGAAACAAAAATACAAAAATCACGAAGAAGACGACGAAGATGAATAATCTCTTTGCTATTGTGGACATTGCACGATACTCTGCCTCGGTGCTGGAAAGAGCAACATCATCTTATTTATTACTCCGTCAGGAAATTAGGGAATCCCCAAGAAATATATAATAACCTATGGTATACTTCCTGGTAGTGAGATCACCAGCCCAATCAACATTAAAATATACACAAAGCTCTAACTTGGATGTAGCAGGAAACAGAAGAAAGCGAGTGCTAGTACCCCGAAGATACCGAAGAATCCATAATAAGACAGCATAGTGTACAGAACATGGGGCACTAATAAATTGACTGACAATGCTACAGCATGAGAGATATCTGATCGAGAGATGCACAGATAGATCAGCTGGCTAACAAGATGTCGATATCGGGTAGGATCAGATAGAGGCTCATCATCAGTAGAGCGAAGTTTGACATTCTGTTAGAGTAGAGTATCGATAGTCGTATCGTCAGTTAGCTCAACTCGATCTAGAATATCCGAGAGATACTTCTGTTGAGACAGTAGTACGCCCCGCGGGCCTTGAGAAATTTCTAGACCAAGAAAATACCGAAGAGATCCAAGATCCTTCATGTGGAACTGTTGTTGCAACTGAGATTTTGCGTACTGTATATCAGCTACATCATCACCTGTAATGATCATGTCATCTACATAGATAAATAATAAAACTCTATCACGTGATGTAGTGCGAACAAACAGAGAAGCATCTTGATGGCTTTCCATAAAGCCCGCCTTGAGCACGATATCGTGAAAACACTCAAACCAAGCGTGGAGTGCCTGCTTGAGACCATAAATAGCACAGCGAAGGAGACATACATGTTCTGGAGAAATATTAGACCCTGGAGGCGGTTGCATATATATTGTCTCAGATAAAAAGCCATGGAGAAAAAGCATTTTTAACATCCTGATACGGGTGTATCTTCTCTTTGGAACTTAACAATCCTCATGGGAACTTGAGGATAGATGATTCTCATAATAGCATAAGAATAGAGGTGTAAAACAACACAGTGGAACGCAGGTTAAAGTGTGGAACGAGACGGTGAATCGAAGAATCGAAGGATCCAGTTTTCAGCCCGTGAGTCGACTCATAACAGTCATGAGTCGACTCATCAGGTTGAGTCGACTCATGTCTGTCATAAGTCGACTCATGAAACTTAACTGTTTTGTCAAAAGTCTCTGACCAGTCGACTCATCACTGTATGAGTCGACCCATGTGTCATAAGTCGACTCATATATGCACATGAGTCGACTCATCGACGGTTTCCTAGTTCATTTGGGTTTCTATTTGCACGAATTCCTGTGGGGTTTGGACTTGGTTATTTACCACTTTGTCATCCACGTTGTTACACCTATATAAGAGATTGTTTAGGGTTTCTAAACAGAAGAGATGGTTAGAGATGTAGATCTAAGGAGATTAGGTCTAAGAGAGATCAGTTTTGATCTAGAGAAAATCAGATGTAAAAAGAGAGATTCTAATCAAGAGAGATTAGGGTTTAGAGAGAATTGAGAGTTTGTTCTAGATTCTAGTGAGATTGTGAGAGAATGATTGTAATCTTTTCATACTCATAATCTAGAGAGGGTATTTTCTTTCACCACATACTGAATTATTCATGTGTTTTTATCATCCGCTTCTCAACCCACCTTTGATAATTTCGAGATCAAAGGTGCTCGCACCACGACTCGTATCAAGTTGGTATCAGAGCGATCAGATCCTGTGAAGGGAGCATCCTATGTATGGTCCTGACTCGGTCATAATACAAGAAGCTAGGCGAGATCCTTATTTCATTGGAAGGAGTCCAAAAATTAAGGAAGAAAAAGATGATGAAGGTAACGACAAGGTGATCTTGCCGCATGTTGCAGACTTATGGTTTGATAGAGAGGAGCCGCAGAAGGAAGATTACATGTTGGAGCAGAAGACGACCATAACAAGGCGGGGGGACGAAGGAGTCGTTTCTCATTGGACGTCAAGGTCAGGTTCCTAGCAAGGTTAAGTGGTTTAACAGGGAAGGAGGAGCTCACAAGTTTCCTCACCTGAAGTTCTAACTTGAACGGGACTTCAAGTTCCTAAAGGAGGGACCCATGATACAGGTGTATCTTCTCTTTGGAATTTAGCGATCCTCATGGAAACTTGAAGATAGATGATTCTTATAATAGCATAAGAATAAAGGTATAAAAGAACACAGTGGAACGCAGGTTGAAGTGTGGAACGAGACGACAAATCAAAGAATCGAAGCATCCAGTTTTTAGCCCGTGAGTCGACTCATAACAGTCATGAGTCGACTCATCAGGTTGAGTCGACTCATGCCTGTCATAAGTCGACTCATGAAACCCAGCCGTTTTGTTAAAAGTCTCTGACCAGTCGACTCATCACTGTATGAGTCGACCCATGTGTCATGAGTCGACTCATATATGCATATGAGTCGACTCATTGACGGTTTCCTGGTTCGTTTGGGTTTCTGTTTGCACGAATTCCTGTGGGGTTTGAGCTTGGTTATTTACCACTTTGTCATCCATGTTGTTACACCTATATAAGAGATTGTTTAGGGTTTCTAAACAGAAGAGATGGTTAGAGATGTAGATCTAAAGAGATTAGGTCAAGAGAGATCAGTTTTGATCTAGATAAAATCAGATGTAAAAAAGAGAGATTCTAATCAAGAGAGATTAGGGTTTAGAGAGAATTGAGAGTTTGTTCTCGATTCTAGTGAGATTATGAGAGAATGATTGTAATCTTTTCATACTCATAATCTAGAGAGGGTATTTTCCTTTGCCACATACTGAATTATTCTTGTGTTTCTATTATCCTCTTCTCAACCCACCTTTGATAATTTCGCGATTAAAGGTTCTCGCACGGCAACTCGTATCACATCCATCTGATATAAGGGCTAACAATGAGCAGTAACGACCGCAAGAAGAGTACGAACGGTGGGCGTCTGAGCAACAGGAATAAAGGTCTCCTCATAATCAATACCTTGTTGCTGAGTAAAACCTCAAGCTACTAAATGAGATTTTCGACGTTCAATGGTACCATCAGGACAATACTTGACCTTATAAACCCATTTACTGCCAACTATAAAGATGTTAGGGGGACAAGGAACAATATCCTAGGTATGTGTTTGCTGAAAGGCCTAAAATTCCTCAGCCATAGCATGTCGCCACTGTGGAAATTAAACGGGCTCTTAAAAGGACTTTGGCTCAACTGTAGTATGAATGACAGTAAGAAAATTATGAAAGATAGATGAATAGAAAGTAACTGAAGCATACTATGCAGGCATGACATGTGGACGTTTTCCTCGATGAAGAGCAATAGGAACCTCACGCGAGGGAGATACTGACGCAGGTGCATGTAGGCGTCAAAAATTATCTATAGGTCCCCGCACGTAGCTCGAGACGAAGAGAAGATGATGAATGTTGTTATCTAAATTAAATAGGATTATCCAATGTTGTAGATAAGTTAACAAATGCATGAAGCGAGTTCGCAAAGCGTACGAGTCAACGTAACACGCTAAACGATAAAATAATTAAGAAACAACTCTGCCAGGAGCTGTGTTTCGCCCAAAAGGGGCGAAACACCATGTGTCTCTTGCCCACATCATGTGTGTCTCGCCTATGGGGAGTTGTAGGTATCTTCGTCAGATTTCCAATACAT